GTGTGAATATGACGTTTGGAAAAGGGTATTTGCAGATGTAATTAAGTTAAGTATGTTAAGATGAAATCATCCCAGATTACCTGGGTAGGCCCTAAATGTAATAACAAGTGTTCTTAGAAGACTAGGCGACACGGGACGAGGAGGAGGCAGCCCTGGGGCGATCAAGGTGGAGACTGGAGTTATGCAGTATCAGCCCAGGAAAACCTTAGCTTTTCTGGGCTGAGCCTGCCTGATTCTCTCTGGCTGCTAGCTGGCCTACACTTGAGCCTCTAATCTCCGATGAATCTATCTACTAGATCTACCCGTGTCTTCTTCCATCTGTCTTTCACAACAGCCTCCACTTTGGAGATCATTTGTAGGCTTGGATGTCTTCTTCGCAAATGAAGTCAGTTCCCTTATAAGAGATTCAGAGCTCTCTGCTTTCTGCTTCCCCCACCTGTCCGCAGACACCGCCTGAGCCATGGCTCTGGAGTGTCTTTCTAAGGGACACTTCTGCTTTTAGAGCTGCGTGTTCTGTGGACGGGGAGGTGGTAGCCTCAGTCCTCTCTCAGCATGAAAGCTCCCCCTTAGGAGCCGTGGCAAGGGTGATCAGAGCCCCAGGGTTCCCAGTGACACTGTGCCCAACGAGGAGGGACTTGGTGGAAGAAAACATCCCTAGCCTGCAGTTGCCCAGAACTTAGCCTCAGCAACAGGTACCTGGGCAGGATGAGAAATGCTAATGTCCTGCCCTTCCTGGGTAGATAGCCCTCAAGTAACAGCTTGGGAGAGAGGGACCCTGCATTCGTGGCTGTGTTCCTCTGGAGGCTGTTTCCAATCCTGCTGAGCTGTGAGGGTGGGGGAACAGTGAGCCCATCTTGGTTCAAATACTATATACTCTCTTGTACTATTTTTTGGTTTTGTGTTTTCTGTGTGCCCTTAGGACCTTTTCTATGGATTTTAACTTAAAAAAATAACATTTTTCTACCATCTTTGGGTGACAGCTCCTTATGCTGTCATGCCACAAGTCTAAAAAAATAATAATAAATAACTGAATTATGTGTTAAAGGGCTTTTTTGGGAAGAGATGTAGCTTGGGCTGAATCTTCAAAGATAACAAGGAATTCAACAGTTAGAAAGAGAAGGGGTTCTATTATGGTTGGTTAGGTAGGAGAAACTGCCCAGCACGTTTTGCATAACCACTAAAGCTACAGAAATTCTGTCTCATCATACTCCACTAGCATATCACTTTCAATGTCAGGGTATATAGTTTAGGTTTTATTTTTTTAAATTTATTTTATTAATGAGGTGGACTGTAAACTAGTAAATTAAAAGTAAACATGTAGAAATGTGTCCAATTCAACTACCTAGGAAGACATCAATTTAGCCCATTTGGAGAATTTTTAAATAAATGTAACGACTAGTTCAAGATAACTCTGTAGTCCCCCCCTTGTTAAAGGCCAAAAGACACTTTTGAACTGTGCATTTGATCAGATTGCCAGCTTTTTCTGTTTTATTTCTTTTGAGAACTTTTGAATAAGAAACATCTGAAATAAAAAATAAATACATTGAATTGGGGGTAAACATAATATATAAAATGTGCACCGTGAGATTCTTTACAGCTACGAGAGGTGGGTTCCAAATTTGGTTCTGAGTATTTCACACGTCAATTCAAAGTACAAAATATAATAATTTACAAAAGCCCATTGTCCATTATACTTAAAGCATTTACTTGTAGTTACTGAGACAAATATCAGAATTGAAGAACATTCTCCATCCTTTATAATCTAATAGTATTACATGATAGCTCCCAGTCCCACGTTATGGCTAACAAAAAAATTAGATGACGTTATTCTAGGGATCTGGGCCCCTGGATAGTTAAACACCACCTTGTCCCAGATACTACATATGAGAAAGCTTACATTACTGTAATGTTGAAAGTCATCCCAGTAAAAAAACTCATGGACCTTCTCCATCGAATATGCTTGAGTTTTATCATCTGCTGGTCATCTAGATCTAAGAGACAAATGCAACTGTAACTGTGAGATTAAGAAAAGAGAAGAGAGAAAAATTAAGAACATGGGCCTTGGCATAATTATCTTTTTGCCAAAACTGTGACAATAAAATCTGTATATGCGTGTTTGCTTGTAGGGGTTGTGTGTGTGTGTGTGTGTGTGTGTGTGTGTGTGTGTGTACATGCAGCATGAGAAAGAGGGAAGAAAATATCAATTTTTGTAGACTTGGCCCAATCAACCGTTGTCAGTGAATCTGACTCAGTAAGTTTAGCATTTTCTTCATTTCCCAAGGAGCAAAATCACATTTAAGGACTATGATAGCTTCTCCTTGTAGTTGCAGCTTTCTAAGACTAGAAGCTTATTATTCACTATTATGTATATGTAGTTTATTAAGTCCCTGTTGACCATTGGCTGTTTATTAATTAAATGTTTAGAGAAATTGAAGACAAAAACATAGTAATAGGAAGCTTCTGTAAGCTTCCTATTTATATGCACAAGAGTTGGTCTAGGATGTGGAATGGAAAGAATGAATATTATATACATGCATAAATAATCAATAGTAGTTCTTAGAGCTGAAATACAGATAATTACAAAATAAAAGTCATCAAATACAGGGACTCTGCTTGGGTGAAATAACACCATGAGTAAAAATGTGCAAGTTAAATTGTGCCATTTCTCAGGGAGCCTTGCTGACTATTAATGCAAATCTGAGAATACTGGTGGTGGTACAACCCATGAGATATATCCAGCTTGGTATTTGATATTTGGACTCAAAATTCAAAGAGTGTTCAAACTTGAGCTAAGTATTTAAAACCAGCCTCTAAGCATTCTTGAGTAAATGGCAGTGATTACTTACTTTAACAACAAAAAAAAAATGAATCAAATATATTTTGTTGGGGATGTCATTGATATAATACTGTGAAAATGGTCATGTGTGGAATGCCAAAACTACATCTTGGAGTTCATTTTTAACTGAGTAATCTTGCGAAAGGCATATGATTCTTTGAGTGTCAGTCTCCATCTAAAATACGAGAATCGTGTTACTACTTCTTAGGTCTTTAGTGAGGGCTAAACGAGATAGAATTATGTGAAATGTCTTGGACTGTATGTAGAAAACACTCCTTATGCCTGGTGCTGGTGGTGCCAACAATTACAAAGGTAAGGGCTGAAACATCCAATGTTATCTAAGCATTTTTAATTTTTTCTCATATAATATTTATCACAATTCTGTAACCAACATGTTAAGTTCTTGAGCTTCCTCAGGAATAAAATGAGGTCAGATAACCTGTTTAGGATCATGTAGGCAGCAGGAGGAAAGATGGCGCTCCAAACATTGTTTGTTTACTGCAAACACTATCTTCCTTTTTATTTTCCAGCAGCTGTTCTTCAGCTCATGGTCAGGGTACAAAAGAGATATAAATCTTTAAGGATATAATCATAAATCTTTAAGGATATAATCACATCTTGTTTCAAATGCCATATACCTTATATCTACCTTTTTCAAGTAGATAAAGCATAAAATATAAACTCCTTATCTTAGGGTCATGAGTTTTACTTTTTAAAAACTTGTCCTTCAGTGGAAACTTGGGAAGTGCGTCCTTCCTCTTTGAATGAAGAATACATTAATTTATTAGACCTCAGAGAGTAAAAGAAAGAGGAAATATCGGGTGACACGCTTAAGGCCATCGGCTTGATTTTTGACAAGTGAGGTTATGTTCCATTACTGAGGTGGTTGGAATTCCACAGGATAATAATCACCCATCCAGCATTAATCAAATTAGAATATTGGAGGGTAGCCTTGGTAGTTAACTAAATTTAAATCTTGTAGCATTGCCAGTGGGGTAAACCAACTATAAATTTGTAACATGGCTATGATCATTTGGTGTGTGCTTTAGAAATACTTGCATATTTAACCCCACCAAAATGAGTATTTAAAGGTTTTAGATGTCTGAATTTAATCAATTGGCAAAAAAAAAAAAAGATTTGATATATCAAATGAAAGCGTGTTTCTTCACATTGAAAAGTCAAACACTTTCCACCTCTTGGCTTGCTTATAAATGTTCAGTGCCAGAGAAACACAAATAAATAACTGGCCCTCTGCAATGCATTCTGTATAATTTACAAGAGATCAAAATATTGTGCAGTCAGAGTCAAACTGTATTCTTTTTATTACAACTGAAAAATTATCACATGGCCCCTGTCAGCAATGTATTAATGGACCAGATTTGTGTGTGTGTGTGTGTGTGTGTGTGTGTGTGTGTGTGTGTGCGCATGCGCGCGTGTGTGCGTGTATTTATATAACTTTTTAAATGTAAGGACCTGGGGATTAAGGATTATGTATTAAATTCTCTGCTATTGGAACTGACCTGGAAAGATTAAAAGATTATTATCTGTTTACACTGATGAAAATCTTTGTGAAAACAGCAATATTAAAATGACTTGGGCTTATCTTATCCCAAAAGATCCCAAGGTCAATTTTTAATAAAAAATAAAATTCATAAAAGATATGATTCCCCATCCTTAAGATTATCCCTTTTATCATTGTTAAGGACACCCTCTCAGCAATTGATTTAGTTCAGGCCTTTTGCTGGGTTTTTGATGTTCATCTTTAAAAGATAGCCAGCCAAACAAGATCGTGCAAAAATGTGTTGTGTTCTACCCAAAATAAATAAATCTGTGTTGCATACAGCATTTTTTTCTTTTGTATAATGGACTTTATCAATACACTAAAACTTTCTTCATCAAGAAAGCATTTTTAATTATTCAGAGGTGGTTTTTATCAAGCTAAGCTCCAGCAAATGGTGTTTGGAATAATAATTTACACTTTTTTTGTAAGCAGATAAGCACTTGCTATTCTTCCTCATTGAGTGGTCAGATTTTATAATCACCATGTTGAAAACACCCTGATTAAGCGAAGTTGAAAGAGACACACATGCTTTCAAGAAGAAAGTTGAGTTGCACGTTAAAATGAAATACCCTCGATGCTGATGTTATTTTTTCCTTCCCATAGGGAACCACAGTCAGATATCACGAGTACCTGTTGCTATTAAAGTGCTGGATGTCAATGACAACGCCCCTGAATTCGCATCCGAATATGAGGCATTTTTATGTGAAAATGGAAAACCCGGCCAAGTAAATATCTCCATGTTGTTAATGCTGATATGTTTGTATACAACTGTCTCATATTTGATTAGCCTGCATTATAGTGTGCATTTGCATCCTTTATGATCTGTAAAGTCACAGGCAAGAAACATCCAAGTGGGAGCTGAGAGGGAGTAGTTTTCTTTCTAAAATGTTAGTTTTCTTCCTACTATGACCAAATTGGCTCCTGAAGTGGAGTACCCTGCTGTGCTGTGAGCCCAGAGCCAAATAACGATCTTAAAATATCTCGGGGAGATATTAAAGGGATGAGGCCACAAATTGAAACTTCAAATGACAGGAAGCAAGGGAAATGGCCCTGGGGTGGGGGGGGGGGGTACTTGTTTCATAGCAAACATAGGAATAACATAAGATTGTGGAACCCAGGGTGACCGGTTGTACGAAGTAAATTTTGAAATCTGTAACAATGTAGATAGTTTAGATAAATATAAGATGAGCAACATGTTTTAGACATGCAAGCAAAGCATCTGAATTGTGTATTGATGGAATTTTTTCTGCCTGTCTCATAGAGCATAAATAGGAACGAGAGAGAGAGAGAGAGAGAGAGAGAGAGAGAGAGAGAGAGAGAGAGAGAGAGAAGGGAAGGGAAGGGGAAGGAAGAGAAATTGGGTGGGAGGGAGGGGGAAGAGAGCTGTAAGCAAGAAACACAAAAACAAAACCTGCTATACTTAATGTCAAAATGGAAATAGTCTGTGTAAAATTCTAAAAACCACAAATGTAATAGATTTATTTTAACAAGGTGCCAAAGTACTGTATGTTTGAGATATTTATCATTTTTCAACTTCCTAATTTATTTCTGGATGGTGACATTTTAATTTAAATAAACAGCAGATGACAGCATGACACTGGAGTTGTTAATCCAACTATTATTGTACCTCATGTGGGTGTTAGGAATTAAAGTTACTATTTGCCAAACGAGCAGTTTACCTGACAAGAATCAGATTTTTTTTTCCCACCAAAAGAAAGGAATAGCACTGTACCTCTATACTTTTAATTATTATAAAAAAAATCAATGTGTTACTGTCCTATAAAACAATGGACATTTTCTCTTAGACCACTCTCACATATCTGAAGGATTAGCATTGTTTCCATGTACCAAAATAAGATACACACACAGAGCAAAGCTAAAATTGTAATAATAAAACTGATTAATTTTAAGCACCTAGACAACATAAATGTTGTTTAAACAAAGCATTAACTTTTCACACTAATATACTTTTTTTTTAACATTCTAGCATTAGTTCAAATGTTTCTTAATTTCATCTTTTGGAATTGCCCTCTAGCATTCATGTTTTGAGTATTTTCATTTATATAGAGTGAGAGCAGTAAATATCATTTAGCTAAGTTGGTGGATTGAGTTGGCAGAGAGAATTGATAAAAATATACAAATCTGTGCAGGTCAGTTTCAAGGATATGGTGTGTGAGCCAGGTCATTGCTGGTGTAATATAGCCAATCACAAACCTGTAAGTCAGCTGCTTTCAATCACACAGAACCTGTCAAATGCATTAGAATTTAAATAAAACTCCATTGTTCATGCAAAACTCATCACATGCATTTAGAGAGTCCATGGCATTGATACTCAAAAATTCAACATTGGCTTCACTTATGATATTGACATGCATGCCTTTGGAACTCCAGGAACCTGGAGTTTTACCTGATGAATTTGACTGTTTCCAAAGTTTGAATGATTCTTCAACAGTTCTTATCCTCAGGAAAAACAATGCATTATTTCATCACCTTTCCTATGCAAGGTCAAAATAAAACAGAAAAGTTGATTCTTTGTTTTATGATTTTTGCAAATCAAAACGAAAGACTCCTGTGCAAAAAAATGTTTATGTTGTGTGTGTGTCCACTGCGTTAGCTTATTTTCAAATCAATCTGTTTAGACACATTTGTTAGAGCTCATTTTTACATGAAGAGATCAGTTCTTTGGTTGTTCAACATGATTTTTGGACTTATGGCTGACTCGTTCATACACATGTAGTTATTCAAACAACTCCTGAATTTTCTGATTTCTTTGTGCTAGTCAGAACTAATGTTTGCTTCATTACATCATCCCTAGGTCACTTTTAATGGCTTTCAGTATCTCATTTTTATGTTTAATGTTTTCCAAAATTCATCTTGGTTACTTACACTATCATTTACTTATTTAGGTTCAACATAGATACATTTTGAATTATCACTCCTATTACACACAAACCACTGACTCACTTTGAAATTAGAATATTCATTATCAGATGATCACACACTCATGAAAAAATAAATGTCAAAAACTGAATTAGCACTAAATTTATAGTCACTCAATGTTTTTCAACAATTAATGTCTACTTTGCAACAGCCTCACAGAAAGGAGTGCAGGCGACTTTGAAATGCCTGGTTTGTCGGGAAGGTATGGATTTAAGGTTGAATTCAAAGGGAATCAGCTTCATGGGAATAAGTGCAGCTAGGGATCATTAGCAATAATCAAGGCAGGACATTAAGAGCACCTAATCTAAAAATGTCTGGACTGGAAGAGACTCTGTAGGGAGGTTTTCAAAACAGCTCACAAAATGAAAGCCAATGTCAACATGAACAGAGATACAGTAAAACCTTGGATTGTGAGTAGCTTGGATTTGTGAGTGTTCTGCAAGATGAGCAAACATTTCTAATACATTTTAACATGGTAAACGAGCGATGTCTTGCAAGACGAGTAGTTTGTTTCTGGAACAGATTATACTCTCAAACCAAGGTATTACTATAATTCTATTGTGCTTGATTCTTCCACTGGATTGAATTCATTTAAACAAAGAAAGAAGGAGGGAGGAAGAGAAAGACAGAGAAAAGGGAAGAGAACGGAAAAGAAAAGAAAAAAGTAAACAAAAGAAAAAGAAAAGAGAGTGGGGTCACTTTCCTCTAGATAGAAATTTCCAGTTCATGGTACATCTGTGCTAAAATTGGCATATACTCCCTTTGAAAGTTGAATTCCAAATAATAACTGCCCCTACCACCTTCTCATGATTCTGTAGTGAAAGATGACATTTTCTTGAATTTGTTCCCTTAAGAGAGTAGGAGCCACTCATGATGCAGATAAATAGTTCAGAGTCCATATTATATAAAATCAATGTGAATCTCATTTGATTAGAATCATTTTAAATAATCCCTCCATTATATAACTAAATGTCAATATGGTATTTTCTGATTACTAGTTACTTCTATTTCTTTTTTTTTTAATTTCCAATAGTTGTAGGTAATTTATCTTAAGTCAAAAGATAGAAGATGATGTGTCTCTTTAGTCTCTAGTCCAATGATGGTATGATAGCATCGTCTACAGGTTACTTGGCCCTCAGTTTAACAGGAAGAAGGAAAAAATGCTCTCCACTTACTCCTCTCTCACGACCAAGGCAGAAGTGAAAGGATGGACTATTTCAGGATTAGAAAGCAAACTATATGGTTAGTAGTTCATATGTCTACTAGGATGGTAGGCTTGGTCAGTCAGTAAATATTTATCGAACACAAACTATGTGCCAGGACTTGGCTCAAAACTGGGATCTTTGTGGCAAACAACTTTTCCCCTCATAGACTTTTTTCTCTGGCACGCACGTAATAAAATTAGAAATAATAGAACTGCAAGAAAATTCCTCAAATCCTCCAGGCGGAAAGGAGGCTGAGGAGATCAGGGAAATGGAGCTATCCTATTGAGAAGACCTCTTACATAGGACATGCTCCACCAGAGACAGGAAACATCTGTGAAATGCTGAAAAGGAGTCAGCTGGGGATAACACACTTTCCGTCTGAAGAGAATGGCAATCTGGGGGATGGGTGGAGGGATAGGTAACAGGTGTGGAGAAATTAGCGTCTTCCTTCAGCGTGCCTAATAACACCACAGCCGGGACCAAATGTGAAAGAGAACTAGAGAACCTCCGTGACCAGTGTTGGCCGGAGGGCCTTCCAGAATTCTGTTCTACATCTTATCTCCTTCAGAAGGTCTTTCTAGGATTCTGTTTCAGATACTGGCCTCTTGCTTTCCATACAGGTAGAATTAGGCTCATTTGTTCCAGACGGTACATGAGGCAGGGACAGAACTGGAAATGTATTTGCAGGTGTGATTCAACGTCTCTCGTTTAGTCTCAGAGAATATTTATTGTCTGAGAACTAGTTACGCGACAGACTACTTCAGCTCGTTTTCCTTCAGGAAGGAACTTTCCCTGTTACTATAAATAAATCTAGTGGAGTACAATTTAAGCTTCTTCACTGTCTATAGAAGTTGAAATATACTACTTGGCATCAAGTTAATTATGTCTGGGTTAAAAAAAATACTTTGGTTTGCCTCTTTTAATCCCTCTTTCTCTGACTAATACTGCAGCATATAAAGTTTGCTTATCTTAGGAATATCACAGGTCCAAAACAGAAAAGATAATAGCCTATATGTCTAGATATGTATCTAGCCAAAACTTGGCATGTAATGAATATTCACAAAAATTTTAAATCATGGTTGTAATTCATTTCACTCAGGAATGACAAATATTTCAATAATTAGCTTCTCAGATATTACCATGGAAACAACTTGTTCTCACAGACACACAGGGCACAAGCTAACCTTTTCAAATGAAATATCATTCATTTATTGAACAACATTTATCGTGCATCTATAAAACTATTGTAATATGACCTGGGCAAAACTATGAAATGGACAAAAAAGTGTTCTCTGTAATGGAGCTTAGTGAGGAAGAGGGATTATAAAAAAGTAGAATGAATAAATAATAGACTTAAATTTTGAAAACTGGACTGAAGAAAACATTAATGCCACTAGTCAGTGGGAAACAAAGAAAAAGCAAAGCTCTATTTTATATAGTGTTGTTAGATAAAGTTACTTTTTAAATGGGTATCATTTAAGCTGATATTGAGAAAAAAAAAATGAGAACGGGCTAGGCATGCCAGAAGTGGCAGCAAGGACCTTCTAGCCAATAGGATAAGCTTGTGCAAAGACCTTGAA